TAGACCAACCAGAGGTTAGACCAACAAGAGGTTAGACCAACCAGAGGATAGACATTTTAAGTTCAGCAGCATCTTCAGGTCTTCCATCCTTATCCCTGATTGCTTAATAAAACTTTTTAGAATAATTAGGATCAATTTGATCCTAACACATTTCAAGTTCTTTTATCGCTTTATTTATATTACCGTTATTTATATTCCGTCATTTATTTATTTACGCTTACTCGCATTTTATTTCCGTCATTTATTTATTACGCTTTCCACGTCTTTATTATTCCGCCATTTATATTCCGTCATTTACTTTCCGCATTTATATTATGTCTTTACTTATCGCAATTTATATTTCTTGTCATTTACTTTTCGCCATGAGTAGCTAATTTTATTAGCTCGGGTGTATGACGGAAAGGGTGAGTTTTTAAACCAAAATATAGTCGACCCTTTCATGTAACAACGATGTTTTAATTTTTCATTTCAAGTTTTATAAAACCAATGAAACTTCTTGATGAGTTGGTCACTTTGAAAGTGTTAAAGTGTCGTGGACGCTAAGCTGAGCCATTGTTTGCATGTCAACTTGGATGATATGGGAAGTAGACTTGAGAGAGTTGCTAACAAAGAGATTKRTTGTCCRTATTTTCTAAGTTGTTAATTCTCGACGGGTTGATCACTCTGAAGTGTTAAAGCGGAATGGACTCAGAGATGAGCCATTCAGAACACGTCAACTTGACTGATGTGGGAATCCACTCGAGAGAGTGATTTTTAACATAGAGATTTGTTTATCCATATATTTTGAAGACACCATTTGTCACTTTCACTAGTCTGGATACCTCACAGAGATATGGGTTAAAAGCTATAATATCAGTCCATTGGTGAAGTCCGAGAGGAATACCTTCAAAGTAATTGGTAAAAATAGTTGTTACTAAGTGACTGTTGTAGCAATTTGTCAGCATGGATTCATGTTTTAGCATTTTGACAGCATTTGTCGACTGGAAATAGCATTTACATCACACCCAAAAAGTCATACACCCTAGCTTGCTTTTATTATTCTGTTATCTCCTATTTTTAGTTGTGTCAACTCTGTTCTAATCAATGTCTTCGAATTCGCCTTCTGAAATCATTTCCTTATCTTTACTTTCTTTTAAACTTTTACTATGATCCCTCTAGACGATATCTGGTACTTGTACCACTTTTATTACTTGAAAGACGATATTGGGACTATTTGTATACTTGCTTTTGGTCCTGATTGTAGACTGTGGTGTGTCAATAACCACCTATTCGAGCCGCCCTCTCAGTGCAATGTGTCTGTTGTGGAGAGGGATACTTTTATGAACTGTGTCCATATAACATTGAATCTGTGAATTATGTTCATAACAGATCGAATCCCTACACTAACACATACAATGCCAGTTGCAGACAGCACCCAAATATTTCATGGAATAGTCCAATTTTGAACCCCCCCAGTCCATAAGCAACAAGGAAACACTAATTTTCAACAACATCAACATGCAAGAAGTTCTAATTCTCAGAATCACCATCACCAGAATTTTCAAAGTAATCAACCACCTTTTCAGAATAAACCACCTCCACAATCCGAATCATCTTCCTTGGAAGCTATGATAAAAGGACTGATGGCTCAATCCCAAACACAACAGCAAATGATGACTCTAAATCAATCTTTGTTCTATCAACAAAGTGTTGCCATTAGAAACCTGGAAACACAAGTTAGCCAACTTGCTCTTAATCAAAATAGTAGAGCCCTTGGTACTTTGCCTAGTAACACTGAAGTCCCGAGAGATCTAGGAAAAGATCATGTAAAGGTAGTGACTCTTAAGAGTGGTAAGGAATTAACGGAGACCATACCAAAAGACAGTGAACAGGTTGTGTCCAAACCTAAGGCTGTACCCATGGTCCCTGTTACTGAAAGTCCACCTAAACCTATGGATGACCAACCTCCTATGACCACCACTTTTGTTCCTCCTAAGTCGAACTATCCTTTGTTATTCCCTGAAGAAGTTGTTAGGAAAAAGCCAATTGAGGATGAGGTTATAACAGGTCCAAAAACCAAAGTTGTAATCTCATCTGAACTTCAAGAATGTAAGACCAAGACTCTAGGCACTTTGGACCCATCTTGCTCAACACAACCTGACAAAGCCATCATTAAGCCAGTTCCTCTTTATGTTCCTTTTCCCCAGAGGTTAAGGAATCAAAAAAAGAACTACAATTCAAGAAGTTTTTGGAAGTGTTTAAAGAATTGCATATTAGCATACCCCTTGTTGAAGCAATTGAGCAAATGCCCAGTTATGCCAAGTTCCTTAAAGATATTTTGAGTAAGAAGAAGAAGTTAACCGAATATGAGATCGTAGCTCTTACCGAGGGATGTAGTGCGCTTCTAACCAACAAAATACCCCCCAAGCTTAAAGACCCAGGGAGTTTCACTATTACTTGTTCTATAGGTGGAAAGGAGATTGGTAAAGTTTTGTGTGATTTAGGAGCTAGTATCAACCTTATGCCCTTGTCTGTTTTTGTTAGCTCTGTTATTCATCTCTTGTAAAAGTATAGAAAAAGTATTCTACAAGTCTTGACAGAAGCTTATCTTCCACAGAAGACAACAGAGGACTAACGAAAGAAGCCTGATATTCGAGAAGTCAAGTGTGGCAGAACCTTTGATGTCTCTCACAGAGGTTCTAGAAAATGGTCCTCTGTGAATAAGAACAAGCAAGTCTATTACAGCAGAGCCTCTGAGATGGCTCACAGAGGGTCTGCAGTTTCGTCTTCTGTAAAGATCCTCTCCCAACTATTTCTTCAAAGGTTGTTAGCTGCATGTGCTTATCCCGTGACTAGGTCTTTAATCGACTTTATTCGGACGGCTTAGGTGATTTCACGTGTCTAGATCTTGTCAGTTAGGTCGTTAGGAGCTAGTATAAATAGCGGCTAAGGCCTTTGTATTCAGTGTGCTTCCGAATTGTAATCGTCTTATTTTCAATTGAATGAATTGAAAAACCTTTGAAGCTATTCTCCTGTGTTTATCCTCTTTATCATCTTAACTGTGTGTTCTTGGTTTATTTTACTCTGTTTTGTTCTTAATATTGTTTCCGCTGCACTTTAATCGTCCTAAAGTTCATTCAGAGTAATAGATCAATATCAAAGCTGAATTTACAGGTCCAACAATTGGTATCAAAGCAGGAATTGAATTCTTATTCGATTAATTTTCTATTTTTGGTATTAATCTGCATTTTCTAGAACACCAGTCTTCTTCAGATTACCCTGTTTTACTCTATTAAATCAGCTTCATCTTGTTCCTATTTTTCTTCTTCTATTTTCGATGGCGAACTTGGCTAATACCTCGTTCATGAGCACTGGATCTCAATCAAAACCTCCCACGCTCATCCGTGAGGAGTATCCGCAATGGAATGTATGAATGATCAACTTTTTGGAGGGAATTCACCCCAGAATTTGTGAATTTCTCTACAATCCTCCTTATGTGCCATTGAATTTGATTCCAAGAGTTCCAGCTACTGGTACAACCCCTGAAATTCCTGAGCATTACGAGCCAAGACCTATTGCTAACTGGAGTGATGAAGACAAGATATTGGTTGATTTGGGCTGCAAATGCAAAAGGTTGTTAATCATGGCAATACCTCATGAAATCTTCAAATGTATTGATCATTGCCAACTGTCAATGGATATTTGGGCAGAATTGGAGAAACAGATTGAAGGAGGTAAGAAAACACTCAAGAACAATCGAGCCATTTGCATTAATGAATACCACAGCTTCAAGGCTAAGGAGGGTGAATCCCTGTCGGACACATACTCCAGATTAAACACCTTAATTAGCAATTGCAAAAGGTATGGAGTAATGAGAACTGCAGAGGACAACAACTCTCTGTTCTTGAAGAGCCTTGGAATTGAATGGATGCACCTAACCATGTCTATGAAGGCTACCTTGGATTTGGAAGCTTGGACTTTGGTTGACTTATTTGGTTCTCTTAAAAGTCAAGAGCCTCAAGTACTTTAGATGAAGAAGAACTATGGTGGTCCACTTGCTCTGGTTGCAGAGGATGGCAGCTCTGGAAAGAAGGAAGAGAAGGAGAAGAAGATCCTGATAGCTGAGAGTGAGGAGAGTTCTGAAGATGAAGTCTCGATGAAATATATGATGAAAACTCTGGCCTTGATCACCAGATAATATAGAAAGAGTGGTGAAAAGGAAGGAGTACAAGAGTTTCAACAGAAGAAACTTCACAGAGGGTGGTAGATCTGAGGCAAGTGAGAAGGAGCAGAAGCCTTCACAGAAGGTAGAGGAGCAGAAGAAGGAAGAGTCGAAAGAAGGATGCTTTAGATGTGGCAAGCCAGGCCACTTTGCTGCAGATTGCTGGTCAAAAGGGCCAAAGGCGCCACATAGGGGTCCAAGAGATGCAGCCTTCTACAAAAAGAAGGCTGACTAATATCAACAGAAGTCTCTGCTAGCTCAATCTAGTGAGTTAGTAACTGATGAATCTTCTGATGAAGATGATCAGAAGGGTCTTCTTGCTTGGGAAGACTCGGACACAGAGGATGAGTTCTTCTGTGGGATGGCAAAGATCGACTCCGATTCCTCCGAATCAAATGACCAAGAGGTTTCTACTTCTTACTCATATGAATCAATTGATCTTTACACAAAGATCATTGATAATCTTGATTCTTTTCATTTGGAGCATTTCAAGCTAAAAGAAAAACTTTCTCTTTGTGAAAAAGAAGTTCTATTTCTCACAGAGGAAAGAAATATATTCTTTAAAATGTTCGAAGAAGCTCAAACAAATTTTGTAAATTTGGAAAAATCTTCAAAAGAAAAGTTTGCCGAGATTCAAAAAGAGTTGAAAAACAAGGTGGATGAGTTAAGGAAGTTAGAGCATTAGAAATGCAATGTTACATCTGTCAAAGAATTCTTCCAAAAAGAAAGAGAATTTTTGCACCAAGACGTTCTTGACAGAGAGCTCAAAACTAGAAAATTTCAAGAGTCTCAAAATGTTTACAAAAAGATAAAAGTTAACATGGGCAGAAGAGTTATAGGTTTCTCAGAATTTGATAACAAACATGGTTTTAAATCCAACAAAACTCTTGAGAGTGCCTTTAGATCCTCTAAGAATCTTAAAAGTAATATTTCTAATACTAAGTCCATTTTTAAAAGAAGAAGGCTGTTGGTTGCTCCAGACACAAAAACTTGTTTAACAATGGAAAATGTTGCTTTTGAAGACTACATTGACTCTTTCTCACCTTCTGAAAAGAAGGATTCCATTCCAAGGAGATTTATGAGACAGAGTCAGATTGGAATCTTTAAGTTTGGACAACCAGAAACTCAAGAAAACTGTAATTTTATGTGTTCTATTCAGCCTCTTGAAAGAAAGTTATCCTCAGAGGCTCCTGAATTTTTTCCAAAACACATCACATAGCCTTCTAAAAATGAGTCTCTTTATAAAAATGTTTTTGTCATAGAGCTCTCTGAAAAAGATACTTCTAAGCATGAATATGCCTCAGATCATGAARAWAGKYCTACACAAGTTGTAGAAACTAATATTGATCTTGAGAAAAGAAAGAAGGAAAATCTAAGACAAAGTAACTCTCAATGCTCTTCCTCTGCTACTCAAAGACCGATTTATACTTGGCAACAATTGAGAAAATGGCCTCAAACTAACAATGCTTCTGTCTCAGTGATTGCAGGAAAACTAAAGAGGGGATCAATACAGAAGAGTTTTAAAAAGGATTTCAAAAAGGAGCATAGAATAGGGAAGGAATCTTGTAATGAGAACCCATACCTAAGAAGGGCTCTAAAAATAAAAACTCTGTACCCTTCTTTGACAATTTTAATGAAAATTTTAAGAAAGCTTCTTGCAATGTGTCCTTCTGTGATTGTTTCAATATCATGCATTCTCTATCTAATCACATTCACCATTCTTCCAGTTTAGTCTCTCACCCCAAGAGTCATGGTTCTGGGGTGAATAATAGACAAATTGGCAATTCTTCTTCCAAGAAAA